TTCTCGATAACAATTCAACGAAACATTAATACCAAAAATTCGGAGATAGAGTGTCACTGAAGATCACGGAATCACTGGAATTGCCAAACATTTCATAAAACATCACAAAATCAAATTCAATGAAATTGTATCAAATCACATCTAGAGAACCACCTTGAACAGAGATACGGCTATAGCTTGCCAAGGATGATACGAGAGAATTGGATCCATTTTGGCTAAACACGGGATGGCCAACCAACCTGTCGTACCCTCATCGATGAACAAAACCTTCGCATAGTTCGCAACTTTCGATGCCTGAAAACTAGAACCCTTAGACGGCCGCCTAAGCAACAATGAATATTGGTCAATTTATATTCTAACATTCATCATTTTCAAATTTGCACTGTTTATTAGTCACATATATCTTCTTGAAATCATCCAATGATTCGAATTATTATATGCACAGCATCAGAAGAGATATTGGTAAGAATGATTATAACACTGAGTCAACTGCAATGGTATAATAAATGCTGTGAAAATGCCCAACTGTAAGATGTGAATGCATGCAATGCATTAATTTAAATTTGCTCATTAAAAATCATAAAATTAGTTCATACGTTGGCAATGATCAAGGATTTGGAAGCATAAAGAATATGGAAATCATCATTCATTTGAGCTCACATCTCGACATGGCAATAACTAACACAACTATCATTGTCTCCACCAACTGCCAATTGAATGACTCGAGCTCGAGCATACAAACCGTTTTCCAGTGGAGCCATAACATACTGACCTTCACGAACCTCATTCAGTTCAACCAAATCATTCCTGAACAAACCACAGATACTTCAATATTCTAGCTGAATATATGTCCACGAAAACTGGAATCAGAATCGGGTTCTTTCGAGAACGCCATAGTTTGACAATTGAAAAAAATACGTTGACTTTTAGCTGAAGTAAAGCGGAGAAGTAGGCTTGAGTTATACTGATAACGAGCGATTTCTGTGCTGAACTGAGTTCCTCTTCTGCTGAGAATTTGCGTGAGCACATTGAAGAGCATTCAACAATTACGCTAATCGTAAAATAGTTGAACAAAACATCCAAATAATATTCGAAATATAACTAGATTTTAGGATGAAAAACTTACAGATC